CCTCGGTATTAGGTCCCCGACAACGCCGATGAACCACGCACCCACGCCTTCCTCAGCAAAGGCGCCGAATATGACAAGATCGATGGCTGGTACCTCAACACCGGTGCCACGCACCACATGACTGGTCGGCGCGAGTTCTTCTCTGACCTAGACTCAGGCGTGAAGGGCTCCGTAAAGTTCGGTGATGCCTCCGCCGTCGAGATCAAGGGAGTCAGCTCAATCATCTTGAAGGCCAAGACCAGAGAGCACCGCCTCCTCATCGACGTGTACTACATCCCGGCCTTGAGGAACTCCATCATCAGCGTCGGGCAGCTGGATGAGAACGGCTCGCGGGTGGAGATCGAGGACGGCGTGTTGCACATCTGGGATAGAAGCCGCCGCCTTCTCGCCAAGGTGAACCGGGGAAGCAACCGCCTTTACATGCTCCATGTGTAGGTGGCACAACCCCATTGCCTTAATGCGTGCCAGGATGTTGAGGCGTGGCGCTGGCACGAGCGTTTCGGGCATCTTCACTTCGAGGCCCTGAAACAGCTCGGCAAGGAGGAGATGGTCCACGACATGCCCTACGTCGACCACGTCGAGCAACTCTATGACACCTGTGTGGTGACCGAGCTGAAGCACCAACCCTTCCCGCGTGAAGCCTCCTACCGCACCACCGAGCAGCTCGAGCTGGTGCACGGCGACCTCTACGGTCTAGTGCCACCGACCACGCCTAGAGGTCGGCGCTACTTCCTACTGCTCGTCGACGATGCCACTCGCTACATGTGGGCCGTGCTGCTCGATTCTAAGGCGGCAGCTGCAGACGCCATCAAGCACCACCAGCCAGCCGTGGAGGAGTGTGGCCGCAAGCTCCGGGTGCTCAGCATGGACAACGGTGGTGAGTTCACGGCGGCAGAGTTCGTGGCATACTGCACCGACGAGGGGAGTCAACGCCACTACTCAGAGCCCTACTCACCATAGCAGAACGGCGTGGTCGAGCGCTGCAATTAGACGGTGGTGGCAGCGGCATGCGCCCTCCTCAAGCAGCGCGACATGACGGCGATCTACTGGGGCGAGGCCGTAATGACCGCTATACACCTGCTCAACCGCTCGCCGACTAGTGCACTCGACAACAAGACGCCATATGAGGCCTAGCACGGGCGCAAGCCGACGGTCAGCTATCTGCGCGTCTTCGACTGCCTCGCCTTCATCAAGGAGCTGAACCACATCGGCAAGCTCGATGATCGTAGCTCGCCAGGGGTCTTCATCGGCTACGCAGAAGGGGCTAAGGCCTACCGCGTGCTCCGACCCGACGACACGGCGCGTGCACGTGGCGTGCGACGTCGTGTTCGATGAAGGAAGTGCCTGGGCATGGGACAAGGCGATGGACGATGGGTCAGTGGACGCGCTCCGTGACTTCACCGTCGAGTATGCGTGGGTGGGCGGTGCTGAGGAAGCACAAGGTGCATCCTCATTGACGTCTGGGTCTTCATCACCAGCGTCGACCTCTTCATCAGCTCTGCCGCGTTCGCCATCACCAAATCCGGGGGAGCTCGGCAGCCTATCGACGGTGGTCGGTAGGTCATCGGCAGCAGCGCCGACCTTTCCAGCACCACAGCCGACCTCTTCGGCACACCAGCTGACCACTCCGATGTCTTCTACTTTGCCCGCTGTGACACCAGCGCACGTAGGGCAGCCAAGGGTCGAGTACGCGACGCCACTGGAGGATGATGAAGACCGCCTGGATGCCTACTACGATGATGAGCCCCTCCGGTACCGCACGGTGGCAAACATCCTCAGAGAGCAGTCCCCACCGGACCAGCCCAAGAGGCTCTTCGCGTAGCTACATCTGACGCACGTCGGTGAGCCGACCACTTATGCTGAAGCGTAGGGTGATCTAGCGTGGCGGGCGGGCTACTAGATGGCCACCACCCCATCACCCTGAAGTGGGTGTTCAAGCACAAGAGGATGAGCTGGGCGTGGTGATCAAGCACAAGGCGCGGCTGGTAGCACGCGGCTTCGTCCAACAAGAGGGGATCGACTACGACGACGCCTTCGCCCCATGGCGCGAATGGAGCCAGTCCGTGTCCTCCACGCGCTGGCAGCTCAAGAGGGCTGGCAAGTCCACCACATGGACATGAAGTCCGCCTTCCTCAACGACTATCTCAAGGAGGAGGTCTATGTGCGCCACCCACCTGGCTACGTCGTCACCGGAGAAGAGGGGGAGGTGTACGACCTGCACTCTATGGCCTATGCCAGGCACCGCGCGCTTGGAACGCGAAGCTCGATGCCACACTCAAGAAGATGGGCTACAAGCAGAGCGCGCATGAGGCAGCGGTGTACCGACGGGGCAGCGGATGCAACGTTCTACTGGTCGGCGTCTACGTCCACGACCTCATCATCACCGACGCTGAAGAGCAGAAGGTGGAGGTGTTCAAGGCACAGATGAAGAAGGCGTTCGACATGAGCGACCTCGGCCTCCTCTTCTTCTACCTTGGCATCGAAGTGCGCCAAGGCGCCAGCGAGATCGCCCTCCGCCAATCCCACTACGCCAAGCGCATCCTCGAGCTCAGCAGCATGACAGGCTGTAGTCCGGCCCACACCCTGATGGACAAGCTCAAGCTGAGCCGGGAGAGCACGGTGGAGGAGGTCGATCCAACCCATTACCGGCGGCTAATCGGGAGCTTGCACTACCTGGTCCATACCCGGCTGGACATTGCGTTCGCCGTCGGGTACATGAGCTGGTTCATGGAACGACTGATGATGGAGCATGTGCAGGCCGTCAAACGAATTCTGCGCTATGTGGTGGGTACCCTCGACTACGGTCTCCACTACGGAAGGGCCCCCCGACATGGCGCGGTTTGTGGGCTACTGCGACAGCGACCTCGTAGGCGATGTGGATACCAGCAAAAGCACAACAGGGACGATGTTCTTCCTCGGTGATTGCTTGGTCAGCTGGTAGTCCCTCAAGCAGAAGGTGGTGGCCCTCTTGAGCTGTGAAGCAGAGCACATCGCCACCACCACTGCAGCAACTCAGGCACTATGGCTGTCAAGGATGCTGGCAGAGCTCCTTGGCAGGAAGGTGGATGTGATTAAGCTGAAGGTGGACAGCAAGTCTGCTCTAGCTCTAGCCAAGAACCCTGTCTTCCATGAGATAAGCGAGCACATCCGCATCAAGTACCACTTCATCAGAGATTGCTTGGAGGACGGGAGCCACATTGCCACTACTGATCAGCTGGCCGATATTCTCACTAAGTCGCTGGAGAAGTCTAAGTTCCAAGAGATGAGGGAGAGGATTGGGCTACAGCAGATCGCTTGCAATGCTTGGCACAAGACTTAGGGGCAGAATGACAGATAAGCCTAGTGCTCGGCAGCACTTGTATCTTACTTTTCTGTATTTTACTTTTCTTGGCTTCCAAGCCTTTGTAATAGGAATATGCTCAGCATCCACTTTAGTGGTAAGAAAATATGCTGGAGCAAGTAAAAAGTATATGTTGCCCTCTGCCCATAAAAGCAGGGGCACACCCTTGTATCAGGACAAGCCATTGCATTTCCTTTCAATCCAAGCGGCCAAGGGCCAAGCTGCCCTCTGGTAGTTCCCAAATCTGAATCTGAGATCCATCATCTTCAGCACTGACCCTCTCGTTCTCGTCCAGTCTACCTTGATTGCATCATCATTTTTTGTCTACTTTGACGACCCTGACTGTGTCGACCTTAGCATCGCCCCCTTCCATGGGAGTAGATCAAGCTATCCAAACATGTCTGTGAGCTCTCTATACATGTCGGCAACATCACTGCCCTAGAGAGCAGCAGAGATAGGAGAAAGGACTAGTGAACATTTCTATATCATCATTACTCAAGGTTTCCCAAATTATCTGTCTAATGCTAAAGATCAAGTCGACAAATATTCTGGAGGCAAAGGATATACCCAAGGGAACTCATCAACTAATAGTACTGGCATGAAGACTGCCAAATAAGACCCATGATCACACTAAAGATGTGCATACAAACCCACCATGGGCTGTTAGCTGCATGAGACCTAGTACAGTACCTTGGATTGGAATCCCATTAGGACAGAAAATGAAAGATCTAACATGGTTCCTGATGATCAGAAACAAAAAGACATTTCGAAGATGCTGAGATGTGGGACTAACCAAAGATTTTGCTAGGCGTAGGAGGCAATGGTAATATTTAGATGGTTGCCCATAACTATGATGGTAATGCAATAGCATTAAGCTTATTCTTATGAGCATCAGAAATGTCACCAACATATGTACTATTACCATTAGTCATTTCATGACTCTACCACCTTGTAGAAAATAATTTTGGGACGAATAAGAACAAATAGTTTAATCATTACAGTAGCTGAAATTTGTGCTTATGTTGCCAATAGATGCTGTGACACTAGCAGTCCAGCAGGTGTTAGGCTATAGACCTTATCATCTAATTGGAATTCAGAAGCTGGATTATGTATCAATTTCTTCCACAGAATTCTGAAGGCAGCATAGCCAACTCCCAATTGCATCTAGGAAAGCCCACAGCTCTAGCTAGTGAAATCTTTTATTTCGATTCAACATGAGGCCACAACAAATGTGTTGCAGATAATGTGTTTTGATAAACAGTAAGTCAAATCAATATATTTCATCATCTTACAATTCCCGTGCAAAGAAATGTCAGACTAGCAAGAAACAACACATTTACCTCTCAAATGAGATAAGAACAGAATTTATCCTTATCTGCTTCCACAAAATGAATGTCTCGGAATAATGTTGGGAAAAGTGGTACCTCTAGGCATAACATTTAACACAGAGCAAATCAACCTTTAAAAATATCTTGACCTCTTTTCCGTATCATGATTAGGTCACTGGCATAAAAGAATCAACATTCGTTGAAGTCCAACAAATCAAGTGAAGATAAAAAGCGTTATAATGAACTGTTAGTGTAAGCATGGTATACAACAGTACCACATTGAATAGAGTAAAGCTGATGCCAATATAGAAAAAAACCTGATCAGGCTTTATTTAGTGCTGGCTCTTCAGCCATTCCCGGAAATGTGCTTGCATTTTATCTCGGCTTGTCGGATTGCCAACATTAACAGTAGGAATTACCTTTTGAGGTCTCAGAAACTACCAATGCAAACATTGACCTATAGTTAGAATTCAGCTAAGAAGACAACAATGTAATACCAGGTTCCGGGATTTACCATCACAAAATCCCTAAGCTCAGTGAAACTTGAATGCTCGCTATAAGGCACACCTACAAGCATAGGAAATCAGTTTGAAACAACTCATAATTGAATGAATTCTGTATGGTAGTTTGGTATTGGGAATGTTTATCATGAACACGTGATACATATTGGACAGTAATAAGGCTAATATGGAGCCATCGTTTGGCATTAAGACTCAGTTTGAAACCACATGTACTTCCAAAACAAATTGAGCTTAAAATCTTCAAATAATCAAAGGAACCTCTAATTTAGGATGCACCTCTCTTTACTTAAGCTGCAACTGCAATTGTCAATCTCTATTCGGTATGGAAGATCAGATATTTATAACGGTAAAAATCGCCACTATGCAGATAGCAGTTAGCAAAAGTAAGTTTTGGATCTTCTGGTAAATCAGCCATTTGAATTCAGGAGATCAACAAACTCAGGCTGCATTTGACAAAGAAAAAGTCCACACTGTGTATACTAAAAGAATTCCTCGTTTGGAATAGTTTTGGTTCTTATTGACCTCTTCATTAGCAATAAATGAGAGGAAAACCATTACCAGCATAACCAACAAATCCTACCATAGATTGTTACACTGCCATTAGAGCATGGCTTTATTAGGTCAAGTTGTTTTCCAGTTGCCTCAGAGAAAGTCCAACCTGATAAAACAATAAAGATAATCTTGAGGACCATGTGAATCCATATTCCAGAAGTAAAAAATTTCTCTCCCAAACTTCGTTAACCTGTAGGACGGAAAGCCAGCACAGCTAGAAATCTTCCATTAAGAGTCTCCATGTACATCTTCAAGTTCTGACAAATGCTACTTTGTAGTTAGAGAGGTTCACTTGCTGAATTCATAGAATTCATCTGAGATTCATTTCCAAACCTCATGATTTACAGATCCAAGGGGAAGAACATGAAGTGGTGAACTTTGATTGCATGAACATATCCTTTTGGATAAGTCTGGCCAGCCAAATGAGTGAAGAATCCGCCTCCTCGATGCATCAGTGTATATAGGGACCTTTCATGAATATATTAAATAGGGAATAAGAAGGTCTGCATGTTCCAAAATTAATAGTAAAGTTCAACTGTAAAGTACCTCTAAATCATGGGAAATTGCTAGATACACATTCTCTTTCCCAATGCTATATGCCCCAACAACAATGAGGGGTTTTGGCTGCTTCTTTAGATATCTTCGAGCTGTCCTCACAACAAAATCAATAACATCCTCCTGGGGTGGGAACCTACAGTTTACCATGTTCAGCAAAGTACTAATGAAAGAGAAAATGCCTAAAACTTGAGGATCGTATACCCACTTGTATTTGGGATTGCAATATGTTGTGTCCAGGTAAACCAAATTTACCCGGCCTCTCTAGAGAAGTGGATGCAATTGCATAGATTTTGATGCTCTAAAATCTCCAGTGTGGAGATAGGTCTTTCCATCACTTAGTCGGAAGTGGATTAGAGCTGCACCAGGGCAATGGTTGGCTTCCAGCAAGGTAACTGTCACTCCCTCTATGACATACTCGGTATCAAGCTCCAAAGGACAAATATAGCTGCAGTCATTGATTTGAATACATGTTGTTGGGGCACGAGAAATCACCATGAAACAATTCACAGAGGGAAATAGAAGGGAGACTTACTCGGAATTTACTGACAAGCACATCTTCACTAAGCGTGCAGTGAGTGCAGAACAATAGATGGGGCCAGGACACCATTTCTTGGTCAATCCACCATAGTGGTCATGATGAAAGTGGCTAAGGAAATAGGCCGAGCATCCCTCAACTTGTCCATACCGAAATGCATCCACCGTGAATGGTGTGCCTAGGTTCATTAAATTTGCAGATGCATGAGCATGATTGGCAAATTAAAAAATTGACTGTAACAGCAATTCAATGTATGCCATCCTCAGTAGGCAGTAGCTCAACAGGCATACTATATATTCTCAATTTAGTGAAAAAATGCCCAAACTATATTATATAACAAACTAATTTGGGACTAATTTCGTAGCCAAGCATGAACGCAGCGGCCTTTACCGGGAATCTTCTTGTAGAAGGGGCACGCAAGGGGCTTCTTGGCCGCCACCCCCGCCTCCTCGGTTCCTCCTCGCCTCCGCTTCCTTCCCAACCAAGAACCGGAAAGAGAGGGGGATGGGGAGGAATCCCCAGCCCTGAGCCCCTCCGTCCGTGGCCTTTCGATCCCCCACGCCTGGAAGAGGCTCCTCTGCACAAGCGATGAATCCCCAGCCTCCCGCCGTGGCTTCTCGATCCCCCAAGCCTGGAAGAGGCTGCTCTGCACGAGCGAGCCGCCTCCCCTCTCCTTCTCCTTCACACCGGGTGGCCCTCCTGGCGGCCGCAGCGGCGGAGGGGCGCGCAGGGAGGACCACTCGGTGCCGCTGCGGTAGAAGTCCTCCGCGAAGCCGCTGCTAGAGGCGGCGGGGGAGGAGGGTAGAGCCGGGAATCCGTTGTCTTCGTGGTCGGCGGGGGAGGGCAGGGACCAGTCGGCGTCGCCTTCGGCGGTGGCCATCGGAGGTGGGTTCGAAATGGCGGCGGGAACACGGAGAGACGAGGGAGAGGGAACGAAACGATGCCCGGACGTTGGGAAGCGTACATAAGAAGATTGGCAAATGTGAAGGGGACACGTTGATCGTGAACCGTTCGATCAGTTTGACACTTTGACCCCGACTCGGATCGGACGGCATGGGATCCATCTTGTAATTAGAGATGCTGATGCTGTATTGACCGTCCAACTCGGCATTAATTTCGAGACTTTCGTATACATTTTTTTTTGTCAAAATGGTTCCGGCTATATGAAATTTTTAGGGTGTGTTCGGATCGTTAGCAGAGTTTGCTCCAGGCTGTTCGTTTAGGTTTGTTTGGCTGATAAGCCATGGCTGAAAGTACTATTGGCTGATTTAGTATGAGAGAAAAATATTGTTCGTTGGCTGATAAGTCATGGCTTATAAGCCAAACACGACCAAACGAACACGCTGTATGACAGTCCCAACCCATAGTTTCTATGGGCACTTTCCAAGACAAAATAGAATAATAAATGACCTATAGAAACTAACCTCCATATCCGAGTTTTCATAGTAGTTTCTATGTATACAAAAATTTAATGGTCTCCTACATGCATCACGAAAAGAACGCTGATCAACTATGTCAAGTATCCAAGTAGCTTGCGTGAAGTTGCCAATACAGAAAACTAATTAAAACATGTTCATGCGTATATATTTCAGTATCGCAAAATGATGTTGTCCAGTCATCAATGTGCATCAAGAAACAAAGCAGGTGGGATCCTTCCTTTGTAAAGAAGAAATCTGAAGCTGGACAGAACATACCACAAAGGAGCCGACGGAACAAAGACACCCGTCCACATAAACTGTCGCACAGGATGAATGGCCGGATTGAGTAGCTAGTTTGGATGGGGTCCTGGGAAACACGTCTGAGCCAGGCAGCACCTTCAGGCCGTCGATTTTCCATGCATGGGGTCAGATCGACATGCCTGGGCGGCAGCCCCAGGTGAGGCTCCAATCCAAACAGCACCTATGTGCATGTGGGAGCAGAGGGCGGAGCCGACCATCACGCGCGCCGGAGCATCGCCTAGGAGAAGAACGTCGAGCAGTGGCGGAGCGTCGCGGTTGTGACAGGGGACGGAACGGAGGAGCGGAGAGCGGTCGTCAGCGCAGGAGAGGATGGAGAGAGCGCATGCCACGGAGAAGTCAGGAACATCGGATCCCATCGGAAGGGCATAGAAATGACGCAGCTCATCCCAACGCTAAATCCATGACTTCCCGATGCGTAGGAGCGAGAGCCGACACCGTTTCTCATCTGAGAAACCGTTTCTCTCTCTCTTTCCTCCTTAATAACTCTCCTTCCACATCTGCAAAATGATGACGTGGCAGTCTATTTAATGCTATGAAAACCATTGTGGTTTCAGGGTTGGGACTGCCCTTATCTCGTATAACTTCAGTTAGCGTTTACTGCAAGTGTGCCACACCTTGCTTAGGTGTCAGATGGTTTATTTGCATGCCAAAACTCACCAAAAGTGCGGTGTTGTTTTTGTGCGCCAGACTTGCGACATGGCGGGCTGCGGTAGTAAGCCAAACATGTCCTACTCCCTCCGTCCCACAACAAAGAATGTCTTTCTCATTTCCTGAGAAGTCAAACATTCTTAACTTTCACCAATTATATATAAAAGAGTATTAATATTTATAATGTATAATTAGTATCATTAGATAAATCATGAAATATATTTTTATAATATTTTTTAGTGAAACAAACACTACCGAAAACATGTGATTTGCTGAGTGCCAACATATTTGTCGAGTATATTCCACCGGACACTCGACAAAAAAGTTGTTTGCCAAGTGCTGTAGAAACCACACTCGCTAAAATAATGGCACTCGGCATACCAAACTCTTTGCTGAGTGCTGAAAAAAGATCACTCGGCAAACTAGGGAAAACACTCGGCAAAACAGAAACACGGCAAAAAACCGTCATGTGGACATCCGTCAGTTAGTGTGCCTGCAGTTAGGAGTTTGCCGAGTGTCCGTTAGTGGCACTCGGCAAAGAAGTAAGTTTGCCGAGTGTTTTCCGTTAGAGGATTGAGAAGACCATGAGTAGATCTACACGGGCCGCTCTAGTCAGGGTTTGTTGACCGATGAATGGATTGAGAAGACCGATGCTTTCTTGGAACTAGCATTTGCAAGGGTTAAACGAGCGCATGCCACTTGGTGTCTCTACAACATTTGTGCAAACACGTGTCGACAAACAAAGGTGCTCATGGGTAAACATCTTTATAAGAATGGATTTATGGCAGACTATACCCGGTGGATCTACCATGGTGAATCCGATCGTGTGAGAGACGAGGTCGTGAGACAACTCATCGAGGATTATGATGCTAATGCCGGGGTAGGAGACATGTTAAATGACTATCATGAAGCACACTTCGATGAAGGACGTAAGGAGGAGGAGCCAGAGCCAACCACAAAGGCGTATTACGATATGTTGTCTGTGGCACAGCAACCCCTTCACGGGCATGCCAAGGTTTCTCAACTGGGTGCCATTGCCCGCCTAATGGCCGTAAAGTCCCAATTTAGCTTGAGTCAAGAAGCCTTCGATATTATGCTGACAATTATTGGTAGCCTACTCCCGGATGGTCACATCTTGCCAAAGAGCATGTATGAGGCATAGAAACTCCTTCGTGCACTTAAGATGCCATATGAGCATATACATGCTTGTCCAAAGGGATGCATCTTATTTAGGAAAGAACATGTAGAAGCAAAGTACTGTGTGAAGTGTAAATCATCTAGGTTCCTGAAGGTAGACTCTAGGGATGGTCAGAAGAGGTAGCTCGCCGTCCCCATGAACATCCTACGGTACCTTCCAATCATACGGAGGATCCAATGGCTTTATATGATAGAGGAATCCGCGAAACAGATGACATGGCACAAAAACAGACGTCGATACAATCCTGAGAAGCTGGTGCATCCATCTGATGGTGAAGCATGGACAAGGTTTGATATGATTCATTGTGAGAAAGCTCTAGGGGCTCGTAATATATACGTGTTGTGCTGGCAACATATGGGTTTGATCCTTTTGGAATGGCGATTGCCTTATACACTTGTTGGCCCATGTTCGTTATCCCTCTCAATCCCCCCTTGGTGTCCTTTTTCAACAACAGAACATATTCTTGTCGTTGATAATTCCTGAACACCCGGGGAATAATATGAGTGTGTACATGGAGCCTCTGATTGATGATTTGGTCCGTGCTTAGAAGGAAGGGGTATGGACATACGAATGAGCTACAAAGACAAACTTCAAATTGCATGTTTGGTACCAGTACTCCCTGCATGACTTTTCGGTGTATAGGATATTCTACGGCTGGAGTGTTGACGGGAAGTTCTCATGCCCAGTATGCAAGGCGTCTTTGATGTTTATTTGGTCGACGAAGGGTGGCAAGTATTCTTCGTTTGACAAACATCGACAATTCCTCCCTATTGACCATCCATTCAGACGAGACATCAAGAACTTTATGAAAGATGTAGTAGTTGAAGACCCTACACCCTAGATGATGATTGGTGACGCGGTTCATGCTCAGTTAGACGCTCTCAAGGTCAATGACCAAGGAGATCGTTTTTTGGGATATGGTGAGCAACATGCATGGACTCACAAGTCATGCTTATGGAACCTCCCCTATTTTGATGACTTTCTACTTCCACAAAACATTGATGTAATGCACACTGAAAAGAATGTCGCCGAGGCAATTTTTGGTACAATCATGGACATTTCTGATAAGACAAAGGATAATGTTAAGGCTAGAGTGAATCAAGCGAGGTTATGCAATAGACCAAAGCTAGACATGGCGCCTCCCGGAGGCGGGAAGTCATGGAGAAAGCCTAAGGCCAATTTTGTTTTGACGAGGGCCCAAAGGAGGGAAGTACTAGAATGGTTCCAAACGTTAATGTTCCCTGATGGGTATGCAGCGAATCTGAAGAGGGGAGTGAACTTAGCTACTTTACGAATCAACAGGCTCAAGAGTCATGACTACCACATCTAGCTTGAGCGGCTACTGCCGGTGATGGTTTGAGGCTATGTCCCTAAGCATGTCTGAATAGTGCTGGCAGAGTTGAGCAATTTCTTCCGCTAGCTTTGTGCTAAGGAGTTATCTTGTACCGTGGTTGCAGACATGGAAAGAATAACGCCTGTGTTGGTTTGCAGGTTGGAGAAGATCTTTCCACCTGGCTTCTTCAATCTGATGCAACATTTGATTTTGCACCTCCCATATAAGGCACGAATGGGGGGGGGGCTGTGCAGGGCCGTTGGCGCTATTCAATTGAGAGATTTTAAAAGGTTCTTCAAACTAAATGTAAAAATAAATGCAAAATTGAAGCATCCATAGCAGAGGCATACATTCTGGAAGAGGTGCCAAGCTTCACAAAAAATACTATGCTGACAACCTTCCTAGCGTGCATAATCCACCCCCTTGTTACAATGATGGCGAAGATGAATTGAACCTTAGCATTTTCCGAGGACAATTAGGAAGTGCAAGTGGTGAGACTAACAAGACCTTGAAACATGAAGAGTGGTGCACTATTGTGCTATATGTGTTGACCAACCTATCCGAAGTGGAGCCATGCATGCTGTAAGTTCTCAATAAACTTTTTGTCAAGTAGTCACAATTTTGTGTCCAACTCCCTTGTTTCTCGTTGGTACAGGGAATTTCATGAACAATTCTTTCATGAATTAAGGGAACCTACCCCGCAAGAAACTTTGACCCTTCTTAGAGAGGGAGCGAGAAATGGAATACCCCATTTCATTTCTTGGTTCAAATAGAAGGTACTGTTCAATTTGGTTCATACTTAGTTTGACATTACAAGTTGCTCATACGTGCGACTAATATAATGAACTACCCTGCTTGAACTTGTAGGGACAAACCGATGCGTCTATGAGTGCCAAGTTGAGACAGGTTGCCGATGGTTGTGCCTATAGGGTCAGTCATTTACCGGTTATGATGTGAATGGA